GCTAGTTTCAATTCCTAAGGACTTTCAATTACCGGAGAATTAACATGGATCTCTCCAAGAGTAGCCATGAGCATTGCAAGCTCAGCTTCCTTGGTGGCAACAGATTGATGAAGATGAACCTTTGCAGAGGCAGCCTCATCAACCTTTCTTCTGTAAATTTCCAAGCACTCTCGCTCAAGCTCCAAAAGCATGCGGTCTTTATCAGCTTCAGACTCGCCAATTTCAGTCCATATTTCCTGCTTATCAGAACACCAATTTCAAAACAAGTAATATCACGCCATAAGCACTATTCTCCCTTAAAATCTCCATAGAATCACTAGGATCATGATCACACAAATTTGAAAAGAATCACTTATATTTAACCACTATATGCTACCAATTTTAGTCAAACTTCATATAAAGGGAAAATGACAATTTAGAAACATAAACACACGAAAAAACAAATATAGTCTAAGGCCAACAGTGGAGTCAAAATTTCATAGGGGACCATCAAGCGATATATATGGTGCATAACACAGCCTGTATCCCAGTTTCTGTGAGACTTCAAGAGAGCAACTGAACTTATTCTTACCCACAAAGCCATAAAATTACTGTTAGAAAAAAGAAGAAAAAGGGGTAAGATTGGGAAGAAAACCTAACACATTTATGTAAATTTAACTCATTCCTCTAACAAAAAGGAACCCTCTTCAATTCAAACACCAAGAGGCGAAGAAAACCTCAAGGAAGCAAAACATAAAAAATCTAGTTAACTTGGGAAAATTAGAAAAGACTGCATTTTTATAAAAGATACAGAACACAGTAAAAAGTAATTCGACAAAAATAATTATCAAATGAGGTATGCACACGAAGAGAGAAAGAGACCTGAAGTTCCTTGAGTAAAGCATTGTAACTACTGCTTGTATGAATACTGTTACACGGACTTCCGAACGCCAGCATCATTTCTACTTATTTTGATCTTTTTAATTTCTTGCTTTATTTCTTCCAACTCTCAGCCTCTCTTTCCAAAGAGCCCAACAAAAAGAAAGAAAAAGCAATTATTTCAAAAGAAAAAATGCAAGGACTTTCACTTCTCTTAAGAAAACAATAAAAGCTTCCACACCCAGAAATAGACTGATTATGGATTTTTACTTTTACACCTTTTCTTCACTCAGGTGGTCAAAGGAGAAGAAGAAAAGAACAATGATGAGAATACCGAACAACTACAGTTTTTGTACAACTCCATCTCTTTATATCTCTCCTTCTTCTTTGTTGCTTCAGCAGATCGAAGCTTCCTACTCAGAATTTTATTAAACTAAACTCAGAAAATACACAGCCACCACCCGCAAATGAACAAATGTATCAGGCCCAGAGAGAAAACAAAGAGATTAGGTGCAGTAAAGAAATGCCAAAAACAATGAAGAAAGAATGAACATAAAACAAGAAGTACCAACCCAATTATGCACAACTCAGGTGAAGGAATGGGAACTGGAGTTTTCGCCTAGACTAGGGTCAGTGGGTGGAGCTAACATGCGCTTGTGCAAGTGGATCTGCGCTATTTAGCACAAGCTTCCATTTTTCCAGGGTGGGTATTCTTATTCTATGGTTTACGCTACAACAGCAGGCAATGCACTGTATGAAATATATATTAAGTGGAAATTGTAAGAAATGTCCACTTTCCTCTGGCCACTTACAACTTTAAAAAATTCTTGTAAAAATGACCATTTTGGTATATCTTGGATCAAAATACCCATGATCAACAATCTATGATTCCATTCAAGGATAATAAAATGGACA